ACCCAGCACAAGTGGTGGCTGGGCCCCCCAAAGAGTCCTCGGCCTGGCACTAGTAGCAGCCAGGCGCAGTTTGCAGCATAGCCTCTCCCAAGTCCTGCACAAGTAGCAGCCAACCACAGATCACTTTATGGCGCCGACCAAGCATCCCCAAGCCCAGCACAAGTGGTGGCTGATCTTGACCTGCCCTGCAGCCCCTCCCAAGAGGCTCCAGAACCAACAGTGGCTGGCTTTAGACCGTATTAGAGCACCACCCAACTAGCTCCACAAACAACACACCTGAAGGGGAAACCTGGCAGGCACCAGAGCCCCGCTAAAGCAGCGCCTGCTCTGTGGGGTCAGTACCTGCACAGCAGCTCATCTGCTGTAGTCACAACCATCTTCATAGCCAGTCAGCCTGAGGGTCAACCCCACTCATTTGCATCAACAGCAGTAGAGGCCCAACCACAACAGGGGGGCATACACAACCCCCACAGGGGACCAGGGAGCATGCACCACTGGTCCCAATAGGACACCTTCGGCCACTCTGTCAGGGTGAGGGCTGGAGGGACCAGGAGATGTAGCAGATCTACCTAATACACAGAAACAAACATAGGGAGTCCGTTAAAATGAGGAGAAAAAGCCGAACCGGTTTGGCTCAGTGGATAGAGCATCGGCCTGCGGACTCAAGGGTCCCGGGTTCGATTCCGGTCAGGGGCATGTGCCTTGGTTGCGGGCACATCCCCACTGGGGGGCGTGCAGAGGGCAGCTGATCGGTGTTTCTCTCTCATCGATGTTTCTGGCTCTCTATCCCTCTCCCTTCTTCTCTGTAAAAAAATCAATAAAATATATTTTTAAAAAAAAAAAAAAAAAAAAAAAAAAAAAAAAAAAAAAAAAAAAAAAAAATTGAGGAGAAAAAGAGATATGTCCCAAATGGAAGAACAGGACAAAACTCCAGAATAAGAACTAAATAAAATGGAGGTAAGCAATCTACCAGAAGTTCAAAACCCTGGTTATAACTTAGAGGAAGAATAGATGAACTCAGTGGGAACTTCAAGAAAGCGAAACAAAAGAATAAAAAAGAACCAGTTAAAACTGAAGAACACAACAACTGACATGAACAAAATCAGACAGACACTCAAAAAAAAAAAATAGAGAATTACAGGTCAATATCCCTGATGAACATAGATGGAAAAATCCTCAACAAAATATTAGCAAAGTGTCCTGGTCGGGTAGCTCAGGTGGTTAGAGAATCGTCCCAATACATCAGGGTTGTGGGTTCAGTCACTGGTCAAGGCTCATACAAGAGTCAACAAAGGAATGCATAAATAAGTGGAACAACAGCCCGGCCAGCTGGCTCAGTGGTTGAGCATTGACCTATGAACCTGGAGGTCACAGTTCGATTCCCGGTCAGGGCATGTGCCCAGGTTGCAGGCTTGATCCCCAGTAGGGGGCATGCAGGAGGCAGCCGATCAATGCTTCTCATCATTGATGTTTCTATCCCTCTTTCCCTCTCCAATCCTCTCTCTGAAATCAATTAAAAAAAACTTTTTTTAAAGATAAAAAAAATCTTACCAAGTGGGATAGAGAGAACATGCCTCTATTAACCAAGGAAGTAAAGATCTGTACTCAGAAAACGACAAGACTTTGAAGCAATCGAAAAAGATACAAATAAATGGAAGCATATACCATGCTTAACATCGTTAAAATGTCCATATTACCCAAAGTAGTCTATAGATTTAATGCAATCCCTATTAAAATATCAATGGCATTTTTCACAGAACTATAACAACCAAACCAAAAATTTATATAGAACTACAAAGACCCCGTATAGCAAAAACAACCTTGAGAAAGAAGAACAAAGTTGGAGGTATCATGCTACCTGATATAAAAATACAAGGCTATAGTAATCAAAACAGCATGGTACTGGCTGTTTTGATTACTAAAATAAGACACATAGGCCAATGGAACAGAACAGAGAGCCCAGAAATAAACTCACAAACCAGAGAGGAATATACAATGGAGTAAAGACAGTTTCTTCAATGAATGGTGTTGGGCAAACTGTACGGATACATGCAAAACAAATGAAACTAAACCACTTTCTTACACCATATACAAAAATAAACTCAAAAAGAAAAAAAATAAATTCAAAATGGATTAGAGACTTACATGGAAGACCTGAACCATAAAACTAGAAGAAAACACAGGCTATAAACTCTGTGACATGGCTCTCAGCAATATCTTTTTGTATATGTCTGCTCAGGCAAGGGAAACAAAGGAAAAAAGTAAGCAAATGGCACTACATCAAATTTAAAAGGTTTTGCATAGTGAAGGGCCATCAACAAAATGAAAAGACTACCTATTGAATGGGAGAAGACCTTTGCCAATGAGGCATCCAATAAGCAGTTAATATCCAAAATATATAAATGTGCAGCCATTATGGAAAACAGCATAGAGGGTCCTCAAAAAACTAAATAAAGAACTACCATATAAATACTTCTGGGTATTTATCCAAAGAAATTCAAAACACTAATTCAAAAATTATATGCACTCCTATGTTCATTATTTACAGTAGCCAAGATACAGAAGCAACCTAAGTGTCCATCGATAGATAAGTAGATAAAGAAGATGTGGTACATATATACAATGGAATACTATTCAGGCATAAAAAGAATGAAATATTACCATTTGTAACAACATAGATGGACCAGAGTGTATTATGCTAAGTGAAATAAGTCAGAGAAAGACCAATACCAGATGATTTCATTTATATGAAATCTAAAAAACAAAATAAATAAACAAAACAGAAACAATCACATAGATACAGAGGAAAACTGCTGGTTGCCATATGGAAGGGGTGTTTAGGGGACTAGTAAAAAATGTGAAAAGGATTAAGAGTACAAATTGCCAGTTATAAAAACAGTCCCGGGAATGTCAAGTACAGCACAGGGAAGATAGTCAACAATATATTAACTACATAGGGTGTCAGATGGATACTAGACTTATCAGGGTGATAACTTTATAATCTATCTAAATGTCTAATCACTATGTTGTGCCCTTAACAGTAATATAATATTGCATGTCAACTGAAATAAAAATAATAAATTATACATACACACATTGCATCATATTTGATTTTAGCCAACAGGCCGAGAAACAGTATTCACATTGATGGTTAATTTTATGTGTCAACTTGACTTGGCTAAGGGATGTCCAGATAGCTGGTAAAATAATATTTCTGGTTGTGTCTGTTAGTTCATTTCTGGAAGAAATTAGCATTTGAATTAGTAGACTGAGTAAGGAAGATGTGCCCTCACCAATGTGGGTGGTTGTCATACAATCCAATCAATTGAATGTCCAAATAAAATAAAATGGTGGATAAGAGGCAAATTCTCCCTTTCTTCTTGAGTTGAGACATCCATCTCTCCTGTCCTCAGACATCAGAGCTCCTGGTTCTCCAGCTTTTGGATTGGGACTGAACTATACCACTGGTTTTCCTAGTTCTCCATCTTGCAGATGGCATGCTGTGCAACTTCCCAGCCTCTACAATGGTGTGAGCCAATTCCTATAATAAATCTCCTCTACAGGTCCTACTGGTTCTATTTCTCTGGAGAAATGCATGGGTACACATTATTGACCTTAAAAAAAATAAAAGCTATTCTACCAGCAAAAATGGATTTATTGAGGAATAGCAGAGAATTGCAATTCAAGGCATGTGAGTGATGACAAAACCATAGTCAAGCCTGGAGAACCAAGGAGAGGAACTTTCTCTTGTGGAGGAAAGGGGAAGTTGGGAGAAACTGTTATAAACAAAGAGTCCATTGGAGAAAACTGGGAGTTCAAACTCTACTGACTTCTCATTGGCTGCGTTGTGACAATCTCTCAGTGGTTGCGCCATTGCTGGGGAAGGAGAAAATCTTCCTTTTGTTGGGGTACTAGAGTAGAAAACATCTTCCTGCTGGAAATCAAGGCATATCTCTTCCAGTTCGGGGCAACCAATGATGAGTGATAGGGTGTGAGCGTTCCCCCCTACAGGACCTCCAGACTCCAATTTTGGTTGAGGTTTCTTTTATTAATTTTCAAAATTCCATGCCTTTGCTTATGCTGTGCCTTAGCCTAGCCTGTCTTCACTACATCTCCTTCCTCTTCTTGACATTCCCCCTCAATCTAGGCCCAGCTGACATACCCCTCCTGCAGGAAGCCTTCCCAGACGGCCACAGCCCACACCACTCCCTGGTGTCTGAATTGGTGTCGGGCTTGGGCTGGGTGCTTAGCCAAGTTATCAAGTTCTCTGGGTCAGACGGACAGGGCTTACCGCACTTCCCAGGAAATGATACCATTTCCCTGTACAGCACCGAGTGTAAGGTTACCTGTTCAATGCGTCCATTAACTGGAGTCACTTACCTGCACCCTCTCCCCACACTGTTTGCAGCGGCAAGGGGGCGTCTCAGGGATTCTGACAGGGCCAGGAATCATGCATCTTTCAGACTAGGGACTGAAGTGGAGGCGGCGTGCCGTTACCTGCAGTCAGGCTTCGTCCTCAACGTTGCAGGTCCTTGCATGTGACTGTATCAGCTCGCCCTGAGATCAGCTCAAGGCAAACTACTGCAAGACGATGAATAATGAGATCGACCTGTATCACAGGAATTGCGTCCCCCCGATGCCTGCACCGTCTCCTGCTTTACCTCTCCGTTCCCAGCTTGGCCGCCTTTGCTGAGCAGCCCCCTGGCGGCACGCCCGCCCGGCCGGCCTCGCAGGTCTGAGCCAGCAGCCCCCCCCGGGCGGCACCTCCCCTCCCACCACCCAGGCCCGCTGTCCCGGGCAGGTGTGTGGGCCTGGCCCAGGAAAGCCTCATCCAATCAGGAGCCCCGAGCCCGGCCGAGGGCGGGACTCTTCAGTGCGTCTGTCCAATAAGTGCACACACACTAGGACACCTCGGCGAGGCTTGGCCCCGCCCCACCCATCCCCGCCGCGTGGCCGGGCGGGTGGGCGGCCGGCGCCATCTTGCCGGCGGAGTCCCCACGATGCGGCCGGGGCCGCTGGGCGCCGCGCTGCTGCTGCTGGGGGGCGCCCTCCTCCTCCCGGGGCGCCCCTCGCTCTCGCACGGGGGCCGGCGCCCCTCCCGGGACAGGCCGGACGCCAAGGGCAGTATGTGTTCCTCCCTCTCTCCCTCCCTCCCTCCCTCCCTCCCTCCGGACGTCCCCTCCTCTCCCCGCTTCCACAGCGCTGGTTCGGGGCCTCCTTCCCCGTCGTCCCGGGTGCCTTTCACTGAAGACGTGCGGACCCGAGCTGTCACCTGGACAAGAGCAGTAACAATAGCAAAAAGGGCGCATGTGCAGGGCGTCTCTTTGAGGGGCTCGTCATTCCCATTTCTCAGAGGACGGACTCATGGGAATTCCGAGTTGAATTAGGGCTCTTAGGTGACCTTTTCAGGCTACAGTTCAGGAAAATTAAAAATAAAAGTGGCAAGTATTGGAACTTGTGGCTCTTGAATCACCAGTTCCCCCGGGGGAAGAACATGACACCTGGCCAGAAAAACATCTCATTTTTATGCTTTAGGACAACAGAGCTTTAAAAATGGATGAATTGTGTTGATTTCATGTCATTCTACTTATAAATAAGACCTGTTTACCTTAACTCTCCTTTTTTTCCTCCCTCAAAATATGGTATCCAGCTCGCTTGACCAGTTGTTAAACTAGGAATTTAAAAGCCTGTATTAGTGTGTTAAGATTAGGAGGTAATACCTATTATCAGATGTTCGGTCTAAGTGATGTATCGGTTTTATTTGTAGGTTGTGGAACAGCTCCGCTGGTGAACGTGCTGACAGGGTCTCGGATCGTCGGGGGCACGGCCGCCCAGACTGGCGCGTGGCCCTGGATAGTGAGCCTGCAGATTCGCTCCGGGAGAATCATGGCTCATATCTGTGGGGGAAGCTTAGTGAGGAATAGCTGGGTCCTCACAGCGGCCCACTGCACGAGGGACACTCGGTATGTATTCATAACACACGCCTGTCTTACTCTCTTAGGGAGATCTCAGAGTGGTGGAGGGACATTTGACTTCAGTCCTGTTCACTTAAGCTGTATGTTTGCAAGGGCCTATTATGCCTTATATGTACTACACTGAATGTCTTTTTAAATGAATCCTGAAAATCAGAGGTCAACAAACATTTTCTGTAGAGGCATTTTTGGTAAATATTTTAGGCTTTGCAGACCTTATGGTGTCTGTCACAACTATTCAGCTATGCAACTATAGAACCAAAATGGTCATAGACAATACATCATTGAATGTGTGTGCTGTGATCCAATAGATATTTATGAACACAAAATATTACTTTTTTCCCAATCATTTACAAGTGCAAAAAACATTCTTTGTTTATTAGCTGTGTAAAAATAGGAGACAGGCCAGATTTGGCCTGTGGGTTGGAGTTGGTTGGACCTTGCTTTAAATAATGAAACTTTCTTTTAGCTTTTAAAATTATTATATTGTAATCATGTATTTGTCTTTCTCACCTTTAGATCAGGAGTTATTTGAAGGCAAGGACTACATGTTTTATTTTATATTCCTGGTACTAATATAGAACTTGGCCTACTTTATAGGAGACATAATATATGTTTATTGAATCTATGGATTATGTTAATCTTAGAGAAATAGGATTTACCACAGTGAGAATAGAACCATCTATCTATAATAATAAAAGCATAATATACTAATTAGACTAGACAGCTGAATGACCTTCCGGACGTCCTTTTGGACGAAGCCGGGGCTGTGAGGGCAGAGGCAAGCCGCCGTAGGTGTGAGGGCCAAGCCCCTTGCACGAATTCTGTGCATAGGGCCTCTAGTCCTATCTAATAATAGAGAAACATGGTAATTAACCGTAACTTCGCTACCCTTCCCATTGACTAATCAGCGAGATATGCAAATTAACTGCCAACCAAGATGGCGGCCAGCAGCCAGGCAGCTGAAGCGAACAGGAGGCTTGCTTGCTCCAGTGATGGAGGAAGCCAAGGTTCCCCGCCTGCCACTGCCGGCCTCTGAGCTGCACTCTAAGAAACAATGTTGTAATTATAGAAGCTAAACAAACCCCAGAAACCTGCTTTCAGCCAGCTGGGCCTCAGAGCTGGAGTTGCAACAGTGTTTCAATTATAGAAGCCAAACAAACCCAGATACCTGCTTTCAGCAGCCGAGGTCTCAGAGCTGGAGCTGAGCCTCAGAGCTAAAGCTGGCTCTCAGTTCCACTGACAGCCATAGAAGGTAAATAAATCCCAGAATTAAAAAGAAAAGAAAAAAAGGAGAGGTTGGGAGCTTCAGTCACCCACCAGCCTGAAAATGGCCATCATCCCTCATTCAGGCTGGCCAGGCACCCAAGTGGGACCCCCATCCTGATCCGGGACACCCTTCAGGGCAAACCAGCCGGCCCGCACCCGTGCACCAGGCCTCTATCCTATATAGTAAAAGGGTAATATGCAAACTGACCCTAACAGCAGAATGACTGGGAATGACTGGTCATTATGACACACACTGACCACCAGGGGGCAGACGCTCAATGCAGGAGCTGCCCTCTGGTGGTGAGTGCGTTCTCACATGGGAGGAGCTCTGCTCAGCCACAAGCCAGGCTGATGGCTGCCAGTACAGCGGTGGTGGCGGGAGCCTCTCCTGCCTCCTCAGCAGCGCTAAGGATGTCTGACTGCAGTTTAGGCCTGCTCCCCGCTGGCAAGTGGACATCCCTCGAGGGCTGCCGGGCTGCCAGAGGGATGTCCGATTGCCATCTTGGGCCCAATCCCCCGGGGAGTGGACCTAAGCCAGCAGGTGGTCATCCCCTGAGGGGTCCAAGACTGTGAGAGGGCACAGGCTGGGCTGAGGGACCCCCTCCCCCCCCCCCCCGAGTGCACAAATTTTTGTGCACTGGGCCTCTAGTATATATATAAAAGCCTATATATAGGCAGTCGCTATGACATGCACTGACCACCAGCGGGCAGATGCTCAATGCAGTGCACTCCCACAGCCAACCTCCCGCGGTCCATCCCCACTTCCACCCCCTGCCGGCAGACTCTAATCACCCAATTGGGGCCAGGCCCCGGGCTGGGATGGGGAGCCGGGGATGGGTAGCAGTGGACATGGCCCCTTTCAGAGGGGCCAAGGGCCGACTCTGTCCTCAGGTCTGGTGGTCAACCTCCTGTGCCCTATCCCTCCCCCTGGCCAGCAGGTCCCGATCAGCCCACCACTTGCCCACCACAGTAGTGGCGCTGCGGCAAGGGAAGGAGGAGGGGGGGGGAGGCGGGGAACTGTGCAGTGGCGGAGTGCCAATGATGGTGGTGTCTAATGTCTGTTTCTTCCATGCCTGGCCCAGCAACCGTCGCCTCTTCTCCGGCCTGACACTGATCAGCCTGGCCCTGATCGGCCCTGATTGCTGGCCAGGCCTAGGGATCCCACCCATGCACGATTTTCATGCACTGGGCCTCTAGTCCTATATAATAAAAGCCTAATATGCAAACTGTTTGGCCAGGAGTTTGACCGCTTGCTATGATGTGCACTGACCACCAGGGGGTGGCATTGAAGGCGCTGCTGGCCCTGCTGGGCCCCAACAAGAGTGAGACCATGGTGGGATGGTGGAGTAGGTGAGTGGGCAGTGCCAGGCCAACACAGGTGTGAGTGAGCGGGGGCCTGATCGCCCCACCGATCGCCCTGCAAATGGTGACCAGCAGTCAGCAGCCCCTGATGTCCCAATCAGGGCCAGGCCCTGGGCTGGGATGGGGAACTGTGGGTGGTTGGCAGCGACCAACCTCCCGCGGTGCCCAGGCCGGGGGCTGCAACCTCTTGCCAGCTACCTGGGGGGTGGGGGTGACGAGGACAGAAGTGCGGTGAGAATGCAGGGTGTCCGCTGAGCTCACTCTCACTCCCCCTGCTACCCTCTCCCAGGACACCAGGGCATGCACCAGGGAAGCCCCCACGCTCAGGTGCCAGGTGCCCACAAGGAGCCCGCCCTGCACCTGCATGGCCTCTTCTGGCTGAGCCAGGCCGCAGCTGCCGGGACCAAAGGGGCCGGTCGGGCTCCCCGTGGGTTCATGCAGGAGCCAGTCTGTGAGGCCGGCTGGGAGAGAGCGCACTGCCCACCCAGCTTCCATGCAGTGCCACTGGGTGGCCCAGAGGCCCACACTGCGCCCCAGCCCGTGGTGTCCAGCTGTGCTCACCGCATTTCCGCATGGGGACTCAGGTGCCATGACTCAGGTGGAGGGTGGGGTGCGAGGGTCTGGGGGCCCAGGTGCTGCCCAGGGCCCAGAGTTCAGCTGGGACCTGCCCTTCCACGCCAGATGCTTGCGCTTCAATCGCCAGCCAGGCCTTTGGACTGCACCCATGCACGGATTTCATGCACCGGGCCTCTAGTTTAATATGAAGCTTTAGCTCTGGTCAGGTGGCTCAGTTGGTTGGAGCGTCGTCCTACAGCAGTGGTCGGCAAACCACGGCTCGCGAGCCACATGTGGCTCTTTGGCCCCATGGCATGGGCCATGAAGTTTCAATCGCACTGTGTGTGCGCACCCGCATGTTGTATTTTGTGGAAGAGCCACACTAAAGGGCCAGTTTGCTGACCACTGTCCTACACCAAAAGCTTTTGGGTTCCATTCCTGATCTGGGTTTGATCCCCAGTCAGGGCACATACAGGAGGCACCCAATTGATGGTTCTCTCACACATTGATGTTTCTTTCTCTCCCTCTCTCTTTCCCCCTTCCTCTCTCTAAAATCAATAAAAACATAGCCTTGGGTGAGGTTTAGAATATATATATAAAGCTCTAAGGTAAATCCTTTGGAAAACCGTGGTACCTGTCTTACAGTTTCCCTTTAGTCTTTAATTTTTAAAAATGTTTTTAAAAATGTGGGTTTTTAAAAATTGATTTTAGTGAGAGAAGAAGGGAGAGGGAGAGAGAGAAAGAGATAGAAACATCACATTGAGAGAAACATCAATCAGCTGCCTCCTGCATGCCCCCTACTGGGGGTTGAGCCTGCAATCCAGGCATGTGCCCTAACTGGGATTGAATCAGGGACCTCTTGGTGCATGGGACAACGCTCAACTGACTGAGCCACACCAGCCAGGCTAGTCTTTAATTTAAAAAAAAAATATTTTTTATTGATTTCAGAGAGGAAGGGAGAGGGAGAGAGAGAGAGAGAAACATCAATGATGAGAGAGAATCATTGGTTGGCTGCCTCCTGCATGACTCCTACTGGGGGTCGAGCCCGCAACCCGGGCATGTGCCATTGATTGGAATCGAACCCAGGACCTTTCAGTCCACAGGCAGAGGCTCCATCCACTGAGCTAAACCAGCCAGGCTAGTCTTTAATTTTTAACAGAATCTTAGAGAAGAATGAAAAGTCTTTTTTGTTTGTTTGTTAATCCTCACCTGAGGATATTTTTCCATTGACTTTTAGGGAGAGTGGAAGAGAGAGAAAGACAGAAATATCAATGTGAGAGAATCACATTGATTGGTTGCCTCCTGCTGGCCCTGGCTGGGCCTGGGAGGAGCCTGCAACCAAGGTATGTGCCCTTGACCAGAATCGAACCCGGGACCCTCTAGCCACTGAGCCAAACTAGCTAGGACATGAAAAGTCTTTAAAAGGAACTAATAACTTCAAAATTCAATTGAGGGAACTGGCCTGATTGGATAGGTTTTAATGTGTACACTATATTTTTAAAACATGGATTTTAGTTCTATCAATTGGCCTTTGAGTAATAGAGATTATAAACATGGAAAGATACAACAGTGTAACCAATTGTATAGAAAGAGATGGAGAAAAAGTTTTAGAGTTAGAAGTCAATTCTGCTTTTTCAGGTGTAGGTGTTTTAACAACTGTTTTCTAACATGCTATCTCGAAAAACTGCTTTTCTGCAGCTTTCAAACCTTAAGCCAGTGGCTCTCAACCTTGGCTGCACATTAGAATCACCTGGGAATCTTTTTAAAATCCTGATTTCTTGCCGAAACCGATTTGGCTCAGTGGA